TCGTTGCACGGAAGAAGGCGCCGGGCGGAGCGCGTTCTTCTCTTTCTGTTCCGACGCGTTTCCGCGTTTCGCGTTCCTCGAGATCGCCCGCCGCGGCTACCGTCTCGGTACACGGCGATATTATTAGCGGACGAATGTCGGTGTGTAGGTCGAGCAAACTGTTGCTCGAGGACTCGCTCGAGACGAACCGAGACGGACCGAGGCGAACCGAGACGGACCGAGGTGGTGCTGGCTGGCCCTCGCCGCTGCTCCTCCCGGCGAAGATACCGTGAGAATACCGTCGGAATACCGTGGGAATACCGCGAAACGACGCCAATGCGGGGCAGCGGTAGCAGGAAACGCGTCGTCTTTCGTCGGAACGTTCGCCGAGGTACGAAAAGAGGATCGCGGCACGGTCGTTGGCTCGCGCGAATCGCCCGGGGCGACGGGCCGACTATCGCTCGCGATTAACCCTTTGCACTCGGGAGGTGACTCTTCGTTATCATTCGATCCGATGCAGTAGGACTGTCGAATTTCGTGTTCAACGTTGAACTGGGTAGCGGTGTGTGGAGTTTTGGTTTCTCGGTTTACTTGTAAATTCTCTTGGAGGTAGCTTCGAAGAATATCGTCATCGTCTTCGTCTTGATGGGAAACGTTAAGTACTTCGTTGGAAATACTTCCGGTGCAAAGGGTTGACCCTTTAATAATTAACGTTTGACGTTTGTTTTGGAAATCAGTGCCAATATGGCGGCAGGTTCTTTTTTCCTGGGGAGTATTCTGTTTGTTATTCTTTACAGGATTTATTGTATATTCCGCGAGACGCATTAACTTCAAGACATTTCTAACCCTTTACAATCGAGGGGTGACACTCAGTCACCACTTGATTTTTACGGCAAAAGAATGAAGTGAAATACTTAGTATTCTAAATGAAATACTGTATTGCTATGCAAAATATTTAAGAGAAATAGCTTTGTTGCTTAATTCATCAGCGAGTTATCGTTAAATTAGATGACGAATACTGCCGGTGAAAAACTCTCGAGTGCGAAGGTGATGTTCACCGAAGAATGCGACTCCTGCTGAGCGCATACAGCCGCTGTTCGCAGTTAAAGGGTTAAATTCGACGCTGTAGCCCAACGAGGTGCTGCAGGAGCGTTGGTTCTCGTCGAACCAACGCGACAACTTCGATTCCTTGGAAAACACTTCACTTTCTCAATGTTTTATGCAGCCAGAGCGACGCACTACAAGGAAACTAGGCGAAATCGAGTCGAAAGCGAACCGCAGGAGCGTTGGTTATCATTGAAGCAATGCGACAACTTCGATTCGTTAGACAATATTTCATTTTTCCAATGTTTCTTGTAGCCAAAGCAACGAACTACAAGAAAACTGGGCGATATTGAGTCGAACCAACGCAACAACTTCGATTCGTTGGATAAAATTTCATTTCTCCAATGTTTCCTGTAGCCAAAGCAACGAACTACAAGAAAACCAGGCGATATAGAACCAAACCTAAGCCGCAGGAGCGTTGGTTCGATGAAAACCATCGAGACAACTTCGATTCATTGCTCAACATTCCATTTTCCCAATGTCTCCTACCACCCGAGCAACAAACTGTGCGAAAACTAGGCGATATTGAATCAAACCAACAAGACAACCCCGCTTCGTTGCTCAACATTGGATTTTCCCAATGTCTCCTACAACCAGAGCAACAAACTGTGCGAAAACTAGGCGATATCGAGTCGAACCCGAGCGAAGCCTGCGACAGAGACGAGCGCACCGTCGAATAGGAGTCGACGAAACTTTTTGCTCGTGTTCCTGGCCGGTGGCCGACTAGCTAAGATTAGACGATCGCTCGCTATATATAGGATGACATTTATATACGCGCCTACTAAACGCGGCGAGCGTGCACGCGCTTCTATCTATCTTTTTCTCTCGCCCCGTCCGTCCGTCCGTCCGTCCCGACCCGACCCGCCGCCCCGAGCGTTTTTCTCGCCATCCGCCGATCGACGGTCGAATCGCTAGGAGCCGCGGACATTCCCGATCTCCGCGAGTTGGCACGGTTCGACGATGCAGTCCCAGATTCGAGGCTTTCGAGCCGTGCACGCGTGTGCCGCCGCGCCGCGAGAAGCGTTCTCGGGGATGCGGAGATTCCACGGAAGGTGAAAGCCGGCCGAGTTTCCGATGGATACCGATCGGATATCGCTCGTCCGACGACGAACGACGCGTCGCCGTCCTAAATTGATCCCTTGACTCCGTCTAAGTGGCGCGGACCCCGTTCCAGTGAGCAACGTGCGCACAGTGCGTCGCCTGTCGACGGAACCCGAAAATTTCACTACTCGCGAGACGGAGACTGGAGGGTGCGTCGACGAGTAGTCCGTGTATTGGATGATTTTTATTTGGAAATAAACGTTTCGTGGAATAAATTTTGTTTGTTTATTTTTGTAACCTTGCAATTGGAACAGAATGTTTATTGTTTGATTGAAGAATTTGACTACTCGCGTGATGGAGATTGGAGGGTGCGTCGATGAGTAGTCCGTGTATGGAATGATTTTTGTAACTTTGCAATTGAAACAGAATGTTTATTGTCGATTGAAGAACTTCGTAATATTCTAGTAATGTGGAAAAAGTATATCTTTAAATTTGACTACTCGCACAATTGAAATTGGAGGTTATGTGTCACTGAGTAGTCGGTTCGAAATGATTTTTGTTTTGAAGTAAACATTCCGTGGAATAAATTTTGTTTCTCTATTTATATAACTTTGCGATTGAAATAGAATGTTTATTGTCGATTGAAGAACTTCGTAATATTCTAGAAATGTGAACAAAATAAACCCTAAAATTTGACTACTCGTGTGACGGAAATTGTAGGTTATGCGTCACTGAGTAGTCAGTTCGAAATGACTGTTATTCGGAAAATAAACATTACGTCAGAATAAATTTGTCTATTTATATAACGTCGCAATCGAACCGCAGAATATTCATCGTCAATAGAAAAACGTCATAACGTCCCAGTAACGTAAACAAAATCCAACCACCATAATATAAATCTGTACCTTACAACTGTCCGAAGCATTTGCTCGTATCACTTATACTTTCCAGGTTATTTATTTCTGAATCCGCTCGACAACGCGTGTCAATTTCGCCGCGAATCGCGTTCTTCTCGGAAATTCGACTATATTCATCATACGGTTCGATTATCGACGCGGATCGACTTCCAAGCGTGCACGATTCCGTTCGTCCCGATTCCCAGTAGCCGCCATTCGATTTTCCGATGAAGTCCAGAGTAACCGTCATCCCGTAGTGACCGAGCCGAGCGTGAAAACAGCCGTAAACCGCGATAACGCGTACTGTCTCGTGAAACTCGGGGGCAGCACGGATGCGCTGCGAGCAAGAACAACAGGTGTTCGCCGTCGCCGTCACTGTCGCCGTTGCCGGCGCATTGGAAACCGTTTTCCGGTTGGCGCACCGCTCGTCTCTCGATGAAACGGTGCGAAGCGGAATCTAAACGAGTCGAGACGCAACTCGAAGCCTGAAGTTGGGTCGGGTCGGCGCGAGACGAGAATAACGTTGTTGCGAAAGACAGGCCATTCAGCGAGAGGGAAAAGGACGAGCTCGAACAGTTGGCTCCCGGATAACGGAAGCAAGAGTCCAAGCCAATAAGACCACGTACTAACAAGAAAATAAAAAAAACTGTCGCGTGATATGCACCTTTCTCGGTGGCGAACAATGCGGTCACTCTCATCGTCGGCGTCGCGGTCGCGCCGGTAGCGATGGCGGTGGCAGCTGTGGTGGCAGTTGCGGCGGTGGTGGCAGTGACAGGACACCGTACTCCGAGACCGACAGAAACGCGGGAAACACCGGCGAAACGAGCGAACGAGCCCCGTCGCTCGGCGGATTCGAGCGAGATTCGCGCGCGCCGCCCGGATATCGAGGAAACACTG